GTGTAGGTGAAACAGCTGCAATGAGAACTACTGCTAGAGGTTATGCAGCCAGACAAATGATAGACCAAGACCCCTGATTATTTTATCCTTCCCCAGAGAAGCCTCCTTCCACACATACATATACCTAGAGCAGAGAGAAGAATGCTTGGTGTCCCTATTACATCTTCCCTGTCCTTGCCTAAATCAAAGAAACAGTCTCAAATCACCTCCAGTCTCTACTTAATAGAAATGTATGGGAATGGATAGTTTGCCTGTCAGCCTCATTGATCTTCACCTCTAGCATAATGCCAAAAGGGACTCCCCAAAAATGTATACTGAAGAAAAAGAGGAGGCTGGCAAGCAGGCAGCCTGATGAAATTCACATGATGGACACCATGCCTCGAAACCGAAGTGGCAGATGACAAGTCACTTATCCTCTTTCAGAGAGGCCCAGGCCAGACTGCCTGGGTTTAAATCCCAGCTATGCTGCTTACTAAACTTTGCAGAAGTTACTCAAATATTCTGTGCCTCAGTTTCCTCAACCATAAAAAGGAAATAGTAGTACCTACCACATAGGATCACTGTGACAACTTAAAAGCCATATAAAGGGCCTGACACAGGGCTTAGGAAATGGTAAGCACTTGATAAATGTTATCTGTTGCAATTATAATTATTAACTGTCCCTCACTGGGCATAGCAGGAAGTCTTCTCATTAATGAGAATAGAAATAATGGTTGTAGTAAGGTAGCATCAAATACTGAAACAAACCTTTGTCATTCTTTTGGTTGCCCAGCTCAAAATGCCCTTCCTGAGTCTAGGTGGGAGGCAGAGATGGCCTCTCACTAAGAATCTGATAAAGCCAGATACAGGCTGAATGTTCAGGACTCCCTTGCAGCTAGGGTTTGTAGCCTGTGATCCAGGCTTGAGCAGTCAGGCACACCCAACCCAGGCCTAGTAACAGGAGCTAGTGATGCCAAGTGGCAGGGGTGTAGGGCACTGCCATATAGTATGCCCACTTTTCCCAGAGGTGATGGTCTCAACAGCAGCATTCAAAGCCACTGCTGGCTGTGCAGGATCAGCAGCATCTTCACAGGCTGTGACTGTGGCTGGGTCCTTGTCCGCTGTCAGAGCCCCTGTTCCTGCCTGTTTTCCAAGCCTGTATCTCTACTCTCCAGAAATGCTTTAAATAACCCAGTGTCCTTTTCTGCTTCTGTCAGATTAGGTTAATTTTTCTTGGGCTAATTTTCAACCTGCCAGACTGATATGGATTATCAGATCAGATGGTTTAATAAAATATACGTACACTATTTCTACTTTGTTTTATTGGCTTATTGATTTGCAGTGTGCTTCTACATGGCTCCCGTTCAGGGACTGTTTTTCTTGGATGGTTTTTGTTTTAGTAGTGCCGAGATGGTAAAGAGGATTGTTCATTCTTATTGTTGTTTGGCAAGAAGCTTTCCTCTTCTCCCTTTCCCTCCTTCCTCTTTTTTGGTGTGTGTTTGGGGTATGGGTCAGGACATTCAAATTTTAATTGACTGGAATCTACTCCTAGGTAGAGAAAATTAGGTAACTAATGAGTATGAAAATTAAGGAGATGGAGAGGAGCAAAATCAGTGCCCTGTGCAGGAGAGTATCCCAACACAACTGTGAGCTCATTTAATTTACAGATAAGGAGCTTGGAACAAAGAACCCAAAGGTAATGTGTGTTCAAGATACAGCTAAGTGTATCTTCACACTCCTAGCCCAGGGCTTCTGGCTCTATCCATTTGCCTCCACCCAAAAGGCAAATGACCTAAAAGCAAGCTGAGGTCAGGTTAAATTCAGCCCAGTCAATTACACTTTTTAGGTTTATGATTTTGTATGATAAGAACTTACATTTTCAAGAGCTTTTTATAATTTACAGGCATTTGGTTCATGAAATTCCCTGAACTGCTCTGAAATAAGGTACATATATATTGAGCATTTAATGTGTCAGGCTGGGTACACAAGATAGAGAGCTAGTTAACCCCTTGATAACCAGAAATTTCTATAATCGATATATTTCATTTTAAACCACTATTATTGAAGTTTTTACTGTAGTATAGACTTATTTTAGCAGGCGGTCAATCAATAAAAACTGTTCTACTTACACAAGACTCACGTAGCTAGATCTCTATGGAAACCAATCTTGAAATATATTTAAGATCTAACTCAAAACCATGTTTTGCATCATTTGTCTAGATTCTGTAAAGTAAAATGGAAAGTTGTGATTCTCAAATGTCCCCAAATGAACAAAATATTGACAAGAATATGAAGTTGACTGCATCACTGTATAATTAATTATTAAAGCCTAGGTTTAACAAGCTATTTTCGTTTTCAGTCTAATGGCATACAAAGAGAAAATTTTATTCTCTGTATAGTTTTTCTAAATTCTTTGTATGGATTATGAAAGTCACTTGTGAAAGGAAACTAAGCTAATTGACCTGTAACATAAAGTGAGTAATATATATTTTTGTGTAGCTCTGAATCACAGAAAATGCCATTCTTGTATATTTAGCTAAAACAAACCATTAGTATAAGACCTAAGTATTAATGAGATCCAGGATTTTCAACGAAATTTCATTGCCGCTTTCCCCTCGAAAAGTTAAAAGAAAAATGGAGAGGGCTTTTTAGTGGAAGCTAAATGACGCTGCTGGCATCATTGTGCAAAGATGCAGAAGAACTGGTAAAATGTGGGCGGGCAGTCTCACAGTAACGTCAGAAACAACAAAAACTTTCCAACAGGCTTCAGGTGGTTGTCAAGCCTTTTAAACATCTGACTGACAAAGGTAGCTTTGTCAAAGGAGCGTTTTCTTTTTCAAAAACATTAGGCGGCAGCGCAACTGAAGCTGCTGAAAGCCTTGCACCTAGGCTGAGTCGCCCCTGGCTTGCCTGGCCACGCCCCCTTCCATCGCCCTCGGCGAGGTCCCGCCCCTTCCACCTCCCACTTCCTGGTAACCAAGCTGCTTTGCGCCGCCTTCTCGGGACCTGATTGGCTGACGAGGCAACCGCTAACGGCTACGGAGTTTAAACCCAAGCCCTGGCCCCGAGCGCCGGGCTCCGGGAGCTGAGTGGTGGTCCCACCACGCTGAAAAAGCGGTAAGTCAGTGACCTGTGACATTTGGCGTGGCCTTGCCCTGTCTGGCGGGACCCATGCCCTTCCCGAGCCGAACCTCCCGGCGCTGCCCTCCCGGGTCTCTGGTCCGCCGAGCCGCGCGCGGCCCGCGGCCCCGCCCACTCCGCCTCGGGTCTCCCGGCCCCCGGGCCCAGTGCTGGCTCGGAGGGGCTTCTTGAGGAAGGCCCTGGTTTGGATCTAAGTCACTGCTTCTTGCCCCTGGGATTTGAGCTCTCGGCTCCGTGAGGGGGGCCAGCCGCCAGGCAGAAACCCAGCTCCTGTAGGAAGGAATTGTCTATATGACTGCTCTACTGCTTTTAGAACAGTATCTGGCTCACTGAGCGCTCAGTAAATAGGCTGAATGAATGTTAGAGAAGAACTAGGTCTTGACGCACAGGTAGGATTTCGGTAGGCAAATAGGGACTATGATTTTTCTAGATGAGGAATCCAATTCAGGAGAATTGGATGTGGGATTGAGTAGTTCTGCTTTAGCCGAGATGCTAGCCAAACAAGAGCTACAGAGTAATAATACATAGGTAATGTTAGTGAGCGCTCTGTGCTACGTCCCGTACTAGGCACTGTATATGCGTTGGCTCATTAAGTCCCTACAATGAGATGCTCTGACTTTTTATAATTTTCTAAGTCTGGAAATTGAGACTTGGAGATGCTAGGATCACGTAGCTGTGAAATATTAGAACTGGGGCACCAACACAGTCTAACCACTGTTTATAATACAGTCAGCTCTCCTGTCCGACTCTCGGGTTCCGAATCATCTCCTTCAACCAACTGAATCACTGAAGGAAAAAATTGGGGAAAATTCCAGAAAGTTCCAAAAAGCAAAGTTTGATTTGCTAATCGCCGAGCAACTATTTACATAACATTTATATTGCATTTACAACTATTTACATTGTATTAGGTACTATAAGTAATTTAAACTATGCAGAAGGATGTGCCCAGGTTATATGTAAATACTATGCCATTTTATATAACGGACCTGAGCATGGTGGATTTGGGTATCTGTGGGAGTCCTGCAACTAGTACCCTGCAAATACCAAGGAATGACTGTACCTCAATCTCTGTGTGGTAAGTCACCCTGGAATGGGTACTCCAATACAAGGGACCTGAAGCTGAAGAATGCCTGGCATATGTCACGAGCAGTTAGATCTTGGTGGCCACTGTGGCTTGAGAGTCATGGGCTAGTGGGGAGAGAAGGAGGAGTTTAAAGTTACAGAAATGGGAAGAGCAGGCGGTGGAGAGTTTTAGATAGTAATAGATTGATACACTGTAGTGAGGGCAGGAGTGGAAGTAGGGAGGTAAGAGGCTATTGAAATAATTCAGGTGAGACATGTTAGTGCCTTAGTCTAGGTTGGTAGCAGTGGAGATACTGAGAAGTCGTCAGATTCTAAATGCATTGTGAAGGTAAATTGGGATGTGAGAGATTGTTGACTAGAGCAACTGGAAGGATGGAGTTGCCATTAACTGAAGTGGGGAAGGCTCTGAGTGAAGCAGGTTTGGGCAGGTTAAGTTTGATATGCTATTTCAGTTATCCAAGTGGAATTGTGGAGTAGACAACTATATGAATCCAGGGAAGTTCAGGAAAGAGATCCAGACAGAGGACATAAATTTTGGGGTTCTTGATATCTAGGTAGTATTTTAAGCCATGACTTAAATACATAAAATACACCAAAAGATTGAGGGTAGATAAAGAGAAGAAATCCAAGGAGAGAACTTATTATAGGTTGGAAGAATCTGTAAAAGAGACTGGAAAGAAGCAGCTAGTTAGCTAGGGGGAAAAAAAAAAAAACAACCCCAGGAGTTTGGTGTTCTGGCAGCTGAGGAAATACTGTTTTTGAGGAGGAAAGAGAAATTAACCACATTAAATGCTGCTCTTAGATCAAATTAGACGCGGACTGAGAACTGACCATTAGATTAGCAGTGTGGAGATCATTAGAAACCTTGACAAAAGCAGTTTTGTTGGAATTGAGTGAAATAGGGTTACAAGAAGATTGGAAAATGAGTATAGGCAATTTTTTTAAGGAGTTTTGCTGTAAAGGCTGCAGAGAAATGGAGTGTATGTCCGAGGATGAAGTGGGAACAGTCCCCATAGGATTAGGTATATCTCTTCTGTGCATGTCTCTAAGGTTACACTTCTTACTTTGTATCACAATAGAGTCTGTGCCCACACTGGACTGTGCATTCCATGACTGTGCATTCCTATGCAGCTTTATCCTGTTTTTTGTCGCCAGTGCCTAGCCTAGCTCCTGGCAGGCAGATATAATGATATAGGTTTGAACGAAAAAACAAAATCATTTTACCTTTTTAGGATTCTACTTTTAAACCACTTTTGATTATATTCATACTTTCAGATTTTATATGAAGGGTTCTGCAAATACTTACGTACAAAGTATATTATTTAAGTCATGATTTACTTCTTAGAATGTATTTATCAGTTATCCTTTTTCCCTTTATTAATCAATACTATGATTTCCTGCTTTCTTTCTTTTTTTACTTCAGTGATGGAGTACCCAGTGATGGAAACTGGTTCACTTTTTACCTCAGGAATTAAAAGACATGTGAAAGAGAAAAGAATTTCAAAGGCTGCTAAGTTGAATATTTCTCTTGCTTCAAAAATCAAAACAAAAATAATAAGTAAGTGTTATTAGTCTTAAAGCACACTCACAGTTTAACTTTTTTCTGGAGAATTGATATAGTATTTGATACTTTTTCAAGTATAGAAAATGACTAAAATGACTATTTTGTTAAATGAGACTTTCTCTATTCAATTCTTCCTATCTCCTTCAACTCCTGTTAGTTGGGTGGTTATGATGATTTACTGTCAGTGGTGGCAGCTGAATTTTGAGCAGTGAGGCTGGGGTGGCCCAAGGCAGCTACCTCCTACACTGTAAAGAAAATACCAACGTGACATTTCTGAAAAAGAGCTGAAAAAAAAGTGACGGATTGTCCTTCTGACATGTTGCAGCATTTGGATAATGGGTAATCTAGAGGTGGTTGGCCCAGATAGTGTGCTGTAGTGGGTGATTTTATGTAACCAAAGCTCATCATGAGGGCACTGAGCTCTTTGGAGATGGTGTTTCATGGATTCTGGAGCTAAGATGTCAGAAGGCAAAAAAAAAAAAAAAAGGGAAACGCCCCAAGATAAATTTTCATTACTTCTGAAAATTATCTCAGTGATTCATTTCCATCTTAGCAGGATTGGGGGAGGTTTCCTGTTGATCAACACGTGTGAAAAGTAATTGTGCCTTGTGAAATAGCCCAGCCTCCTGAGTATCTTTAAATCGTAATGTTGCTCCTACCCAGGTCTCTAGGTAGAGATTACCTACCTAGGTAGGTAGGTATTAGACCACTTTCTATAGTGGCAGTTTCCTATTCTCTTTGGCAGGACCATTGCACGCCCACTGCTGTGAAGGAATACACTGAGTCTGAGGAATGCAACAGGAAAATGTTATTAACCTTTAGCTTCTGGAAGTCCTAAACTGGTTCTAGTCTATTTCCACTTGATATGTCAAAGGTGGCTGTCTGAATCTACTTTCTTTGTGCCAAAAATAAAGTACTTTTTGGACTCTGTTTTTTTTTAGACACCCAAGCTTTCCCTGAGTATTTTAAAATATATTATTAGTATTATAAACTATTATTACCATTACTATTACTATAGCTTTAATACTATTACATAAAAATATATATTACTATTATAAAACATATTACAGGACTTCCCTGGTGGCGCAGTGGCTGAGAGTCCGCCTGCCAATGCAGGGACACGGGTTCGTGCCCCGGTCCGGGAAGATCCCACATGCCGCGGAACGGCTGGGCCCGTGAGCCATGGCCACTGAGCTTCTGCATCTGGAGCCTGTGCTCCGCAACGGGAGAGGCCACAACAGTGAGAGGCCCGCGTACCACAAAAAATAAAAATAAAAAAAAAATAAAACATGTTACATACACTATAACTTTAAATCCACGGGATGTGTTATTGAATAGTGGCGTGTAAATCAAAATTATGAAAATATAATTATGCTTTAGGTGTACTAAGGGAACACTATATGTAAGGTGAGTGTTACCAAGGAATTCACAATTAAATTTCTTTTGCTAACAACAGGAAGCATTCTGATTTAAATTATATTTACATAGTACTTGTAAAGAGAAGGGGTCAAGTTTAGATTGCAATAGATGCCTAGAAATAAGAGGTAGAAGGTGGAGGTAGAAGATCCCACAGGGTTTAGATGATCTGTCCAACATTACAGTAAGTATGCTGCCTTTCTACTTGAGGTTTTGAAAAATGGACTTTGGGAACATTATTCAGTTCTGGAGCCACAGAAACTGGCTCTAAAATTTTCACAGATTGGCTACCCTAATTTCTCTAGGACATCTTTAGTTATAGCTGTGGGATCAGCTTCTCCATTCTACCTCCTAGTCAAAGGTAGGAAGGAAGGCAGAGCAACAAGTATCAAGGTTTAGTTTTTGTGACTGATCTAATTATCTAGAATACTGTGTCTATATTAGAGTCCTCTTATTCCTAACTCTGTATTCACAAACATTCTGCTTTTCTCACAACTCTTATTCACCTTCTGTCTAGCTTTTATTTCTTCAGCTCCAAACTCTGGGTACATTTTTTTCAAAATTCCATCTATGTTGTCATGCTCTTCTTTTCTAACTTCAGCTAAAACAAAGTGAAATATGTTTTGTCCAAAGTAGTTTTATTAAGGAATATGAAAATGTATTAAGATGTTCAATATTAACTCTTAACAATTTTTTTACAGACAATTCTTCTATTTTCAAAATTTCTTTAAAGCACAACAACAGGGCATTAGCTCAGGCTCTTAGCAGAGAGAAAGAGAATTCTCGAAGAATTACAACTGAAAAGATGCTATTGCAAAAAGAAGTGGAGAAACTGAATTTTGAGAACACATTTCTTCGTCTAAAGCTAAATAATTTGGTATGGAAACTATATTGTGTTTGAATTCTAAAACTGTATTATTTTAGAAGCTCTAAATGTTTTTCAGACCTGTAATTAATGTAAAAAATTTATTGAGTGTGCCATGTTAATGGACAAACTGTTAATGGGTAATAAAATAGGTGTCTTGAATCTACATTCTAAATGTGTACTTGTGGCTCTGCAAACTAATATAATACCTTGATCAACATTTGATTGCTTATCATAAGCAAAACTTGATACATTAATATATTTTAAGAAGATGGGCATAATTCCTCCAGTCAGTTGAAAGGAGGGAAGTTCCCTGAGTGTTTGTATTCTCTCTTAATGGCAACATTCCCCTGGCTACAAGCCAAGTAGAATGAAGATTGTAGTCCTTGCTTTTCCTTCCAACTTCCAACTCTGTCCACAGCAGGGCAGTAAGAGCCAGTGCTTAGCTAGGTTACAGCTACAGCTATAGCTCTAACTCCAAAATGAGTAGAAATTAATTTAAAATGGAAAAATGGCTTACTATACTTCTTGGAGGTTAAATTCCTGTGGCTGACAAACTGTGCTCAGTTGCCACATGATGTATTATTATTATGAGAAGATTAAAAACTGTAGGAAGGGACTTCCCTGGCGGTTCAGTGGCTAAGATATTGTGCTTCCAATGCAGGGAGCTCGAGTTCGATCCCTGGTCAGGGAACTAAGATCCCACATGCTGTGTGGTGCTGCCAAAAAAAAAAAAGTAGGAAAATTTATGACTGATAGCTCAAAAGCATTTAAAATGTGTGCGTATGTGTCTGTGTCTGTGTCTGTTTGAACTATGCAGTGTAGCACCATTTTAGCCTAATGTGATCTGTTATTTTTTAAGTCTTCTCAACTGATGGTATTTGTAAATGTATGGTATAATAAACTCCAAATCTTAGTTGATTAGAAGGCTCTTTCTTTATTTCAGAATAAGAAGCTTATAGAAATAGAAGCACTCATGAACAATAACTTGATAACTGCAATTGAAATGAGCACTCTTTCTGAGGTAAGTAGAATTTGTGTCTAAATAGTGTAATATTTTTAGCATTACTGAGGATAATTGAGAATAGTTAAGTAGCATCAAGGTTAGAGATGCATATCTTAAACTTTGTACCAAGGAATGGAGATAATATTAATTTTAATTGGCTAACAGCACATGATTATTTCATATAATTGGTTGTTGAAATTTTTATATAAAAATTAGCTTTCGATTAAAAGTAACACAGGATTAGACAGACATGGAACACAAGACAAAACAGACTCAAAAACATAAAAGCTATTAGTAGAAAAGTCATATTTCAAATTAGGGAAGAATTTGTATTATTTTTTAAAAGATGGACACAATCGAAAAACTATTGGGGGAAAAAATAGAGGTAGATCCTAGATCCCCATGTTCTTCAAGGGTCAAATGTATATGTAGAAATATTGTATATGCATGAGTATAGACGTGTGTATGTATTCATAGGCATAGAATAAAGTTTGGGAGGTTATATACCAAAATATTAGTAGTGATTATCTTTGTATGGCATGATTAAGGAAGAACTGTGTTTGACCTTATCATCACATTATTCTCATTAAACTATTGAAGGCTACACGTAAGAATTGTTCTATTACTGTTAGTATCCTTGTATAATTTGGTACTTTAATGACAAACATGATGTAATGAGATTAGAAATTTCATTCATTTTCATTTTCTTTGTCCTTTTCAAAAATAGTTCCATCAGAGTCCCTTTCTTCTGCCAAGTAGCAAGAAGAAACGGGTTAGTAAACAGTGCAAATTGATGCGTCTTCCATTTGCAAGGTAATTGCTTCAAAACTTGGTTAAATACTGACTGGTGCACTTTTACCTGAATTGGACTTCGAAAAGTTTTTATTTGGTTTGCTTCCTTGAAACAGAAAAACATTTAAAAATAAATAATGAAATACTTGTCAATATTGTACCAGTGAAAGAAATTGAAGATATAATCTAATAGAATTCAGTTTTAAACTTTGAAATAATATTCCCATAGTTTCTAGAGAAGAAAGAGGCACAGGTAGACCTTGAGTTACATAGGTTTGAATTACACTGGTTCAGAATACTTAGATTTTCATACAACATAATCTGTGTGTGTTATGCAATATTCTGGTTTCATCAACCTGTAGTTGCCTGTTAAGGTAGAAATGAGATGGTTTGTGGTATCTTGCTACAGGTTGTATTTCCAGGGCTCCAAGGAAACTTACCCATCAATTCAATAACCAAGGTCATCTATAGAATCCTGCTACTCTTCAGTTCTTTCTTTTCCTCCAGGTCACCACTGGCCTCATGTTTTCTGCTGGGTAAATCTGATAACTATTTCTACCTTTATTATCTTGCATACTACTCAGACTTTAAAATAAACTTTCATCATTACTATTCTCCTGACCAAAATTCCCATTTCTTGATTAATTTGATTATAATCTTAGTAAATACCCTATTTCAAACCTATCACTTTTACCGTTTTTTTTGGTTTGTTTCTTTGTTTTTTGCGGTACACGGGCCTCTCACTGTTGTGGCGTGGCTCTGGACACGCAGGCCCAGTGGCCATGGCTCACGGGTGCAGCCGCTCCGCGGCATGTGGGATCCTCCCAGACCGAGGCAGGAACTCGCGTCCCCTGCATCGGCAGGCGGACTCTCAACCACTGCGCCACCAGGGAAGCCCAAACCTAGCACTTTTAAAGACAGTAGTTACTGAGGTCCAGAGAGGTAAAATGACTCAATGAATTAACAGCATTGATCAGAATTGTCTTGTCTCTTTTAGACAGTGTTCTTTCTGTTACATAAATTATAGGTTTAATGCATTTTTTTAAGAGTATAAAGTGCACTTATGTATTGAAGTGGTATCTGTACTATAGTAAAAAAAATTCTTTTATCCACTGTGTCATTTTCTATTCATTCCAGTTTGTTCCATTGTTTTGTCTATTCTGTACTAGCGCCACATTGCCCCTGTACATTTTAATTAATATAGTTTTAAAATAGTACATTTTGTTGTCTTGTAGGTGCTCAGTATTTTTTCAAGAAAATCTTGGCCGTCATTATGCATGCGTTATTTCATGTAAATGTATTAATCAAGTGTTAACTTGCCCTCCAGAAAATTTTATTGTGTTTTTTTAAGTAAACTTTTTTTTTTTTTGCGGTACGCGGGCGTTTCACTGTTGTGGCCTCTCTCATTGCGGAGCACAGGCTGCGGACGCGCAGGCTCAGCAGCCATGGCTCACGGGCCCAGCCGGTCCGCCGCATGTGGGATCTGCCCAGATCGGGGCACGAACCCGTGTCCCCTGCATCGGCAGGCGGACTTTCAACCACTGCGCCACCAGGGAAGCCCTTAAGTAAACTTTTGTTTGAAGTATAATGTACATTTTACAAAAGTGCAAAAATCTTTAGAGAATGGTGAATTTTCACAGTGAACACTATATGGTATAGCCAATACCCAGACCAAGAAACAGATTATTACCAGTACCTCAGATATCCTTGTGCCCCTTGCCAGTCACTACTCATCACCCACCCGAGGATAAATATTATCCTGACTACTAACATTGTAGATTAATTAATTTTGCCTAGTTTTGAATTTCCTTTAATGAAATCGTACAGGATGTATGATTCTGGTCTCTGGCTTCTGTAGCTCAACATTGTGTTTGTGAGATTTCGTCCATATTGTCCTATGTAGTTGTAGATTAGTCATTCTCATTGCTGTACAGTATTCCATTGTATGTATTCCATAATTTATCCATCCTTCTGGTTTTAGTTTTTTTGCTAAGTTTGGTCTATTATAAATAATTCTACCTTGTATCTGCCTTTTGATTAATACATGTAGACATTTCTGTTGGGTATATACTTAAGAGTAGAATTGCTGGGTTTACATGTATTTGGCTTTGGAAGGAACTGCTAAACAGTTTTCTAAAGGGATTATGCCAGTTTACATTTCTAACAGCAATATATGAGAATTCCTGTTGTTATGTATCTCCAACAACACTTGTTATTGTCTGTCTTTTTCATATTAGCCATATGGGGTGTAGAGGTATTACACTGAAGTTTTAATTTCCCGATACTTAATGAAGTAAGGCATCTGTTTATATGTTTATTTTCTATCAGGTTATCTTTTTTTTTTTTTTTGCAGATTTGTAGGAGTTCTTTCTATACATTGTATATAAATTCTTTGTGCATACAAATGTCTGTTACTCTGTGGCTTGCCTCTTTGCTCTCTTAATGGTATCTTTGGATGAACCCAATTTATATATCTATTTGTCCCCCTCCTTCTTATGGTTATGCTTTCTGTGTCTTTTAAGAAAGCCTTTACCAATTGCAAGGTCATGACGTGTTCTCCTATGTATGTTTTCTTTTAAAAGCTTTATTATTTTCCCTTTCATGTTTAGATCTTCAGTCTACCTAGAATTTTGGGTATGATGTGAGAGAAGAGTCATTTATTTTTTTAGTGTGGAAATCCTGTTGACCTTGAACCATTTATTGAAAAGACCATCCTTTCCCCACCTCATTGCAGTGTCATCTGTATAAAAAATCAAGTGACTGGATATGTATGGGTCTATTTCTGAACTCACTATTCTATTACATGAGTCTTTTTGTCAAAACCACACTATCTTAATTACTAACTTTATAATAAGTCTTGATATTTGATAGTTTGAATCTCTATTTTAGTTATTTATGCTTTAAAAATATATATTAATTGGCCATTCTTGGCCTTTTGCATTTCCATGTGAATTTTAGAATCAGCTTGTCAGTTTACATATACACACACCTGGAATTTTGATTGGGATTATGTAGAATATAGTTCAGTTTGGGGAAAATTGACACTTTATAAAATTGAGTATTTCTTCCATGACCATGGTATATCACTCTGTTTTTTAGATATTGTGTATGTAGTTTCAGAGCTTTTAGAATACAGTTATTGCACATCTTACATTTATTCCTACTTATTTGATGTTTTTAGTGCTATTCTTGATACTTTTCAAATTTTCTTTTTCTTTTTGATGATAGTATATAGAAATACAACTAATTTTTGAATATTAACCTTGTTTACATTGACATTGCTATTAATTTTAATAATTTATCCATAGTTTTTAAAAATTTTTCTGTTAATAGAATTTTATTATTTGTAAATAAGAACAGTTTTCCCTTCACCTGCCTCTCCAGTTTATAGGCCTTTTATCTTTTTTTCTTACCTTGTTGGACTGATTATTTCTTGTTCAGTAATGAATAAAAGTACTAACAGTGGGTATTCTTATTGTATTCCCATTATTTAATATGTTTGCTCTTAGGTTTTTATAGATTCTCCTTATCAGATTAAAGCAGTTCCATTGTACTCCTAGTTTGCTAAGAGTTTTTTCATCAATGGCTGTTGGATTTTATCAAATGCTTTTTCTGTCACTATTGAGAAGATAATATTTTTCTCTTTTTTTTCTATTAATGTAATGAATTTTTTATATTTTTTCTACTAAGGTAATGAATTATAATTGATATTTTTAATGTTAAATCACTTACAATCCTGAAATGAATTGCTCCTGATGGTATATCCCTTTGATATATATCACTAAATTTATTTTGCTAATCCTTTAAAGGATTTTTACATCTATTTTAATAATGAAGATGATGTATAATTTTCCTTTATTATAATATATTTTGTCAAGTTTTGATATTTATATTATGCTGGTCACAGTAAATGAATTGATAAATACCCCTCTTTCTATTTACTGGAATTATTTGTGTAAAAAATTTTTTTTCTTTAAATATTTGGGAGAAGTTATCTGGACCTGAAGTTTTTTTGTGGAAACATTTTGATAACATCCCATTTTAATAGATGTAAGAACATTCAGCTTTTCTATTTCTTCCTTTGTCAGGTTTGTTAATTTTTTTAAAAGATTTGTCCATTTCATTTAAAATATCAAATTATTGGCATATAATCGTTCAGAATAGCTTTAGTTACACGTTTAATGTCTGCTGTAGGGTACATAATGATGTTCTCTTTCAATATTGGCTATTTGTTTTTTCTCACTTTTTTCTTGATTAGTTTTGCCCTAGAGATTTATCAGTGTTATCATCTTTGCAAAGATGAATCATCTTTGGGATTATGTTGATCGTTCTTTTAGTATATTTATTTTCTATTGCATTTATTCTGCTTCTTATTATCTCTTTTCTTTTTTAAGTTTTATTGAAGTATAGTTGATTTACAGTGTTGTGTTTATCTTTTCAATTTAAAAGTTTTATTATTACTGTAATTATTTGTTTCTTAAAATGGTTTAGATTATTGTTTTTAAGCCTTTTCAAAAATATGAAGTTGTTGGGGCATAGCTGCCTACATTTAAGGCTATTTTTCTCCTTTAGCTGCATCCCACATTTTTTGATATCCTTATTATCATTTATTTCAAAGTAGTTATTACCTTCAGTTCAGATACATTGTTTGACTTATGGATCATTTACAAGATTATTTAATCTCCAAGCAGCTGGGTGTTTTCTTCTAATTACTTTTTGTTGGTTTCTAATTTAATTCCTTTGTGATTACAGAGTATAGTTCAAGTGATATTAGTCGTTTTAAATTTACTGAGACTTGCATTAGAACACAGCTTGGTCTAATTTGGTAAATATTTTTGGTACACATGGAAAGAATGTGTATTTTGTGGCTGTTGGATGCAGTATTTTATATATGTCAATGTCAGGTTTGCTGATTATATTGTTCATACTTTCCATATCCTTCTTGCTTCTCTTGTCTATCAGCTGTTGAGAGAAGTGCATTGAAGTCTATCACTGTGATTATGGATTTATCTATTTCTCCTTTTAGTTCTGTCAGTTTTCTGCTTTATATATTTTAAAGTTGTTACTAGATGCATATAAATTTAGGATTGATTTGTTTTCCTGATAAATTGTTTTATCAATATGAAATATTTCTGGAAATGATACTGCTTTAAAGTCTACTTGTCTGATATAACATTGCCATGGTATGTCCTTTTCTATACTTTCAAACTCTCTGTTATATTTAAAATGCATGTAGGTTTACCTTTTTTAAAAAATGAATTTAATGTAATATCATCTCTTTTAATTAGAATAGCTGTTATGTTTACATTTAATATAATTCCTGAGAGTTGGGTTTATATCTGCCATCTAGTTATTTTCTATTTGAGCCACCTGTTTTATGTTCCTTTTTTCTCTCCTTTCTTTATTTCATTTGAAATAAAACATTTTTCATAATTTAATTTTCCTTATCTATTAACTTCTATTCCTTTATGATGACCCTAATGATAGCAACACTCATCCTTGATTTATTATACTCTAATACTGATTATCATATTAACATTCCTCAGTAATGCTAGCATCTTCGAACACTTTGACTCGACATTCCTGTGTCCTGCCTTTATGTTATTATTATGTATTTTCATTCTGCATATATTTTAATCCCACAAATTAACTACTTTCACTGTTTTGTGTAGTCAATATTCATTTCCAATTTCTTCATATTGCTTCCTGCATTTTTTAATTGTATGCTCCTTTTTAATTGTATTTTATTTTTTGTTTTTCCAGCTTTATTGAGGTAAAATTCACAAATAAGCTTCTTACATTTTATTTCCTTCTGAAATAATTTTCCTTCTGCCTGAAGAAATCCTTTATTATTTAGTTCAGGTACTAGCAATGCATCCACTCAGCTTTTATTTTTCTGGAAACATATTAATATCACCTTCATTTTTAAAGATTATGTTTGCAATTATAAAACTTTAAGTTATTAAATTTTAGCAATTTAAAGGTATCATTTCATTGTCTTCTGTCTTTACTGTTGAAAAGTTGGCACTGTTTCTGCAAGTTGAGGAAGTTCCTTTTTATTCTAGTTTGCTGAGAGTTTTAATAATGAATTTGTATTGAATTTTGTCAAATTTGTTTTTTCTGTATCTGTGGAGAGAATCATAACTTTTCTCCTTTGTTCTATTAATGTGACTTTGATTTTTTTAATGTTAAACCAACTTTACATTCCTAGAATAAATTCCACTTGGTCATGGTGTATAATAATGGTGTATTATTCTTTCTATGTGTTGATGGATTTGATTTGCTAATAATTACTTAAAGAATTTTGTACTTATTTTCATAAGGAATATTGGTCTATAATTTTCTTATTATATATTTGATAGGTTTTGATAATGGTTATGCTGGCTTTGTAAAATGAGATAAGAAGCATTCCCTCTTCCTCCATTTTCTGAAAAAAACTGTACAATTGATATTTCTTCCTTAAGTATTTGAGAGAATTCATAAGAGAAGTGGGTCTGGAGTTTTTAATTATTAATTTCATTTCTTAGATAGATATGGAGGGCTTTTCAGATTTTCTGTTCTTTTCAGGTCAACTTAGAAAATATTTGTCTTTTTAGAAAATTATCCATTTCATCTAGACAGTAAAGTTTGATCAAACTAGTTAGAGTATTGTCAATTTTACGGATCTCTTAAAAAAACTCAGCTTTTGGTTTCATTGATTTTTTTTTTTCTAAATTTTTTTTTGGTTTCATATTTCTTTGGTGTCTGCACCTTATTATTTCCTTTTTTCTACTTATTTTTTAAAAATTGAGATATAGTTCACATAACATAAAATTTCTCATAATATGAAGTTTATTTTTTAAAATATACAATGCAGTGGTTTTTATATATTTACAAAGTTGTGCAACATTCACCACTTTCCAATTCCAGAATATTTTCATCACTCCAAAAAGAAAACCTATATCCACTAGTAGTCATTTCTCATCTCTTCTTCCCCAGCCCCCAGCAACCACTAATCCACTTTCTGTCTCTATGGATTGCCTATTTTGGACATTTCATATAAATGGAATCACACAGTATGTCGCCTTTTGTGTCTGGCTTCTTTCACTTGGCATAACATTTTCAAATTTCATCCATATTACAGCACGTATTAGTATTTCATTCCTTTTAATGACTGGTTAATATTCTATGGTACGGATAAACTACGTTTTGTTTATCCATTTATCTGTTAATGAGCATTTGTGCTCTTGCCACTTTTAGGCTGTGAATGAGTAATGGTACTATGAATCTCCATATAAAAGTTGTTGTGTGGACATATTTTTCACTTTCTTGGGTGCGCCCTTACCAGTGGAATTGCTGGATCATATAACTCTATGTTTAACTTTTGGAAGAATTGGCAGACTGTTTTCCAAAGGTGCTGTACTGTTTTACATTCCCACCAGCAAAGTATTAGGGTTCCAGTTTCTCCATATCCTCACTAACACATGTTATTACCTATCCTTTTGATTATAGCCATCCTAGTGGATATGAAGTGGTATCTCACTGTGGTTTTGATTTGGGTTTTTTGGGTGACTAATGATACTGAGCATGTTTTCATGTGCTTATTGGCCATTTATTTATTTGGATCATTCTCTGTTGATTATCTTTTCTCTTGAGTTTGAATCATGTTTTTCTGTTGCTTCATATATTGAATAATATTGGATTGTACCCCGGACATTGTGACTCCTATGTTGTAGAAAATCTGGATTCAGGTATATTCCTCCAACAAGTTTGATGTTTTATTTTAGTAGATAGTTACCTTATCTGAACTCAGACTTGTTATTACTTCCCTGTGATGAACAACATATGAAATCTCATTTCAGTTCTATAATCCTTAGCTGGGCCACTTGGAATCTTTCTCATATATGTGATTCAGGAATGAGCTAGAGATTTGGAGAGAGTTTATGCACAAAATTTGGGGCTTCCCTGTCTACTTTTCCTGTTATTTCTTCCATCACATACACTTTACAGCAGTTGTAGTTGCCCTGAATTCTGACCTTGAACTAATAATAATAAGACTGGATTTCTAACTTCTAGAAAATGTGGCACTGACTGAGGTTTGTAAACAGTGAGAAGCTCACCCTTTTTCTAAGTGCCAACCCCTCTTCTGTATCTAGTTGCTTTTTATTCACTCTCCAGTGACTTCGGGTAGTTGTTTTTTTTATATTTTGTCCAGAATTTATATTCATTATGTTTGATAAGGTTGATTCAATAGTAGCTATTTGGCCATTACCTGAAGCAGAACCTCACCTCTGTAAAATAAACAATTTTTGCTAAGCTGTTTCTTCAAGTGGTATAGACATTTCCTCCCAATGGCTATTCTACTGATAGGTGCCTTTAAATTTTTAACAAATATTTTCTAGTATTTATTTTTATCATTATCAATAATTTTTAAATATCTATGATTTGTTTGGCATACAAAGCAAAATCCTTATCATTGGAGCATGTTACTCTTTCTTCTTTGAATTCAAAAAGGTCATTTTGTCTATTTCCATAAATTTCTTTTTCCCCCCCATAGATTTAACTACTCTAGGAATATGGCTTTAGTTTACATGGATACCTTTTGGAAACATAGCAGACTTTATTACACACAGAACTTTACATACAAGTTGTACTTGTTTGAAACCAGAGGAAGAGTTTTGGGTTTTCCATAGAGTTAATTACAGGAAAATTATAAATATTATACACGAATATTTATAAGTATGTTTGAACTTTATTCATTTCATTAATTTTATTGTCCTAATAGCTCAACCAGTGATTATATCATTTATCTCCTTTTGGAGTCACTGGAGATAAGGGGATAAGAAGCATTCCTGTTTTACTCCTCCGTACTATTAGAAACTACCTATTTCCTACCTTCATTGAACACAAAATGGTATAATTGCCTTCATTGAACACAAAATGGTATCAGGGTGGGTTTGTGGTTGGATCTTAAATAAATGGAATATAGAAAGAACTATCCATGTAATTTTCTAAATAATTTTTGTAAAATACAAAATTCCTCATTCATTCTTACTTGCTCTTAGGGTTCCATTAACTTCAGATGATGATGATGAAGATAAAGAGAAAATGCAGTATGACAATATCATGTCAAAGACATCACCTGATAACCCCTCTTTGGTATCAACTCAGCATAACTTGGAATTGTTATTTCTTAAAGAAAGTGATCAGAATGTTTATGGTGTAAATGATTCCAAACACATTTCTTCTATTGTTGATATACTTCCGAAAGGTGAGATTTTTTTTTTTTTAATTCATTTTGAGTGTCAGTATTAAATAGTTAACATTCATTGGATTTTCTTCTTGGGGGCCATCATGTATAAACAGTTAATAAGTTAGACTTCTTATGTTACAGATTTCCTAACTTCTACTATTGAAAATTTCTGGTGAAAAAATTAGTTTAAAAGTAAATATGCCAGGACTTCCCTGGTGGTACAGTGGTTAAGAATCTGCCTGCCAATGCAGGGGACATGGGTTCAGTCCCTGGTCCAGGAAGATCCCACATGCCATGGAGCAACTAAGCCCATGCGCCACAACTGCTGAGCCTGTGCTCTAGAGCCCGTGAGCCACAACTACTGAGCCCGTGTGCCACAGCTACTGAAGCCTGTGTGCCTAGAGCCTGTGCTCCACAATAAGAGAAGCCACTGCAATGAGAAACCTATGCACCGCAATGAAGAGTAGCCCCTGCTCACCACAACTAGAGAAAGCCTGCGCGCAGCAACGAAGACCCAGTGCAGCCAAAAAAAAGTAAATATGCTAACAAATGTCAGGTCTACAGTGGCCTAATACTACTACTCTGGAAACAGTATTTAGAAGTGAGCTGGTCTAAAGAGCTTTTCTTGGTATCCTAGCTTATGAATTGAAAGACATGATATATTATTTAGTTATATCTTCTCTTTTTCAGAGATATAAAAATTGAGGTTCTAGATACGTGTAGTGACTTTTTCAAGATCATAACCAATTGGTGATAAAGCAAGAACTTGAGCCTAGGTGATGGTTGAGCAAGAAAAAATGATGACACTTAAATTTTAATTATATGGTATTTTAAAATAATAATCCTGTGGTGTAGTCTGGTTTATATATTTGACATAGAATTTCAGATTGGGATATGGAACCATAACTATATTGAATTTGGAGTTTGAATTATTTTTCCTTTCTAAAAGGTATATGACTGTGTATATAATTTTTATAAACTTTAGCTACTTGCTGATAACATTTTGATAGTAATCCTTATCAGAGTTATCACTGTTACTTGGGTTCATTTCCCAGACTCCTCTCACGTAGAAACATATGTTAATGTTAATGGCTCTATTGTTGGCTATTCTCCACTCTACTGCTGAGGCCAAGGCAGAGTGAATTCCCAGTATATATTTTCTGTAGATAGAAATGTAAAATGTGACTTATGACTACTCCATTCAGTTCTACTTTATCTATTTGTTAAATATTTTTTTTATTTTTGGCTGTGTCGGGCCTTAGTTGTGGCACGTGGGATCTTCCTTGCGACATGTGGGATCCTCTGCTGTGGCACGCGGGCTTCTCTCTAGTTGTGGCACACAGGCTCCAGAGTGCGTGATCTGTGTAGTTGTGGCGTGTGGGCTCCAGAGTGTGTGGGCTCTGTAGTTGCAGCACGTGGGCTCTCTAGTTGTGGCCCACTTGCTCAGTAGTTGCAGCGCGCGGGGTTAGTTGCTCCACGGCACGTGGGATCTTAGTTCTCTGACCAGGGATTGAACTCTCATTCCCTGCATTGAAAGGCAGATTCTTAACCACTGGACCATCAGGGAAGTCCCCTACTTTATTTTTTATCAGCATAGATTCTTCATAATATTAGTATCTGTACAGAACACATTGTCAGAAAACCTTTCTCTGAAACAGTTTGATTCCTAATCTCATTTGTTTAAAATAATAAATTCCTTGTTACTACTTATTTCTGAATTTTGTTTCCCTTTATTTTATAGAAAGCCATTCCCACTCAGACCAAAGTTCCAGGAGTTCTCTAATGAGTGAGATGAAAAATGCCCAGTCGATGAGCCACAGAAAGAAGTCATCTCCTAGTAATGTGACTAAGAGGAAAAAACGTGTATCATCTTGGGAATCAAATAATCCTGCAGACACTCCCTGTGTAACAGATTTGGATCAACAACAGATTTCAAGTCCAATATTAAATTGGAATAATGAAATAAAAGATTGTACTAACAAAGCAAATATTAAAATGCAAAGAAACATAATGTGCCTTCCTGCCTCATCTGAGTCTGCAAGTGAACCTACTGCAGAGGGCGTGAATCCAGTTCAGGGTAATGATGACTTTCAATTGCAAAAAACTGTGTATGATGGTGACATGGATTTAACTGCTAGTGAAGTAAGCAAAATTGTTACAGTTTCAACAGGCACTAAAAATAAAAGAGATAATAAAAAACCAAATGATTGTGGAATGAAAACTTTCAGAAAAGTGAAAGATCCAAGCTCTGAAAAAAAGAGAGAAAGATCAAAGAGACAATTTAAAAATAGTTCAGATGTGAATATTGAGGACAAGATCAAAAATGGACCGGAAAGAAGATCTGTTGTCCTGGATGGCAAAGGGGATTCAGAAGAACCAAATTTTATTTTCAGTACTGAACAGCTGACTCAGTTGAACATGCTGAAGAAAATAACCCTTCACAATGGCTTTGATCAGGATGACAGACCAAGTACACAGTATAACAAAAAGAGGAAAATAATTCATGTAACAGATGATCAAGAGGAACCATTCTCTTTCTCCCGAAGTTCAGATAAATTCCAGCAGGACAGTAAATTTGATGTGGGTCCTAGTTCTCTAGCTTATAAGAAAAGTAAAACTTCTAGACAGACATTTGTGATTCATACGTTAGAAAAAGATAACTTATTCCCAAACCAAAAGGTTAAAGAAACCACCTCTGAAAACCTAGGAGTCACAAGTGAATTTCAAACAGCTTATCTTTCCAACAAAGATAATGGAAAGTTATGTGATTATGAGACCCAAAATATGTTAGATTTGAAAAAGCATGTCACTGATAGGCAACCCACTCAGCAAAATGAACCAAAAATAAATAAGAAGCTTAGGCAGAAAATAAATCGGAAGACAGAAATAATTTCTGAAATGAACCAAATACTTGGGGATAATGCCAAAGATGTGCAAGGTCCAGAAAAAGGTAACTTTTCCTTCCAAACCCGAGAGGATAAAGAAATCATCTCTGGAAACCTAGAAGTTTCAAATGACTTTCAAAAATCTGGTGTTTCCACTAGCAATAATGGAAACCTGTGTGATTGTGAGACCCAGAATGTATTGGGTCTGCAAAAGCAGATCACCGATGTGTACCCTGTTCAGCAGAATGAATCAAAAATTAATAAGAATCTTAGGCAGAAAGTAAATCGGAAGACAGAAATCATTTCCGAAGTGAATCTTTTAGATAATAACAAAAGTGGGTATTGCCCAGAAAAGGGTAACTCTTTCTTCCTAACCCAGGATAAAGAAATTATCTCTGAAAACCTAGAAGGCACAAGTGCGTTTCAAACACCTGCTCTTGCTTCCAAAGATAGTAGAAACGTATATGATTATGACACTCAGAATGTTTTGGGGGTGAAAAAGCATGTTTATGATATAAAACCTGCTTGTCAAAATGAATCAAAAATAGATAAGAAGCTTAGGCAAAAGGTATGTCGGAAGACAGAAATCATTTCTGAAATCAACCAAATATATAAGAATGATGACAAAGGAATGCGTGACCCAGAAAAAGGTAACTTATTTTCTCTAACCCAAAAAGATAAAGAAATCATCCCTGAAAACCTAGAAGATGCAAATGAGTTTCAGATAGCTGATCCTTCCCTCAGAGGTAATAGGAATCCATGTGATTATGAGACTCAAAACCTTTTAGGGGTGAAAAAGCATGCTACTGATACTGGGAAGCAAAATGAATCAAAAATAAATAATAGTCTCAGGCAGAAGGTAAGTCAGAAGACAGAAATAATTTTGGAAGTGAACCCAAAAAATGAATTTAACGACAAAGGTGTACATGACACAGTAAAAGGTACCTTCTTTTCCCTAACCCCAAAGGATAAAGAAACCATTTCTGAAAACGAAGTCACAAATGAATTTCAGACGATTTATCTTCCCACCAAAAATAATAGAAATTTATATAAGACCCAGAATATGTTGGATTTGAGAAAGCATGTCACTGATAAGGAACCCGCTCAGCAGAATGAATCAAAAATAAATAAGCTTAGGCAGAACGTAAATCGAAAGACAGAAATAATTTCTGAAATGTACCAGATATATGAGGATAATGATAAAGATGTGCATGGCCAAGAAAGCTATACAAAAGATCTTAATTTTAAAATAAATAAATCTAAACAAAGACTTGAAGGCCAAGGTATTAGTGGATACTGTATGGAAATCAACAGTAATGAAAAAGAAAATTGTGGTCAAATTTCAAATCCTTACAAACCAGTTAAAAAGCATGGGAAAGAATCATCAGGCAAGGCAAAGAACATTTTGGCAAAAGGTAACAACAAACCTATTTTGCACTTAACAGGTTCTTCACAGACATCTGTCTCCTTAGAACTCGGTTTAAAACACACTACTGATGAGACAGATTCTGACCCTGGAAACCAAATGGAACTACATAAGAATCCAAAGCAAAGCACTACAACTCTGAATAAAAAGAGAGATATCCCCTTCATGGAAGTGACAAAGGAAGGAGAGTGCCAGGTCAAAAAAATAAATAAAATGACATCCAAATCAAAGAAAAGGAAGACCTTCGTAGACCCTTCTCCAGATAGTCATGAACTAATGGAGATAATATCTGACACCGTTCAGGGAATATCAGTTGAATCCGAATATGCTGTTAAGGAAAAAAATTTGGAAAATGAGGAAATTGTCAAAATTAAGCCAGACTTTCACACAAAAATGTTGAAATCTTTATCTCAGATATGTTCACCTAACAGACAAGATTCTTCCTTTAACAGTGTTCCTGAGGGTTCAAAACCTTTGAGTGTTTCTTCTAATAAAAATATGAAAGAAAATTTTGCTCTGGAGAGCTCACCCATCTTTCAAATAAGTGATGATGTGCATGAGATGATGAAAAAGATGAATTTTAAAATCAACCAAAGAACACAAAGATCAGAAATAGGTATGTCCATACCTGAAGTGATCAAGTTTTAAAATTCTATATATTTTTTCATTTAACCAGTAAAGCATTTCCTGTTATAACATTTTTATGGAATTTTAAAACAATGTATAATTGTATAGCCCTATCTGTAGAAGCAATGTGGAGGAATTTAAAGAAAGTTTAAGACTTTGAGAAGATAACAGTGAGAGTGGCTTGGACATTTATACACTAAAAAATGTATTTGGCCTTTAGCACAAAGTTGTCTGATAATGACATTAGATAATTTCATTTTTCATATTTTTGAAGGAAATTGGGTGTTTTAAATGTATATAATAATGAATTGCCCTGATTTGATTTTTACCAGAGACAATTGCAAATTTCTTAAGGTTGGGACTCTCTCCAATAGCATATATTTAATATGATCAAAACTTATTCTAGGTATTTTAGAAGATTAAAAAATAATACCAACTGCCTTTCCTCAGAGTACATGTATGGAAAAGAAACAGGTACAGTGTTTAAATATGGCAAATGCTTTAATAAAACCACACATGTTAAGGGATGTAATGACGGGGAATAATTTTGGCTAGAGGAATCTGCAGAGGCATCATCACATAGGTAGCATTTTAAGCCCTAGTTATTAAAATAATACTCACTCATTGCAGAAAATTGAAAGTAGAGAATCAGAAAATAGTAGAAAAAACAATCACCCAGAAGAACTGCAGTCAACATTTTGGCATATGCATGCAGGCTTGAATCTATGCATTTTAAAATAGATACTTGAAATCATACTATATATAACATTACTTACCTCACTTTTTCCCCTTAACATTGACATTCTTTTGTTATTAAGCAATTTTGCAACATTAGACATTCCCATATCAATTAAAGTTTTCTACTGGGAGCCTAACATTTCAATGTATGTATGTAGAACACTAGGATTTTTATGGATAAGACTTCATGTAAAAGGAATACTGACGCAAAAGAAGTGCCAAGGTCTAGAGTTGCAGGACATTTTAGAGACTGGTGAGCCGTCCTTCATCTCTGTTCCTCATGGTGCCTTTCATAGCGTGAGCAGTCGATGACAAATGTTGAATGAATGTGCAGTAATTTGCGTGATTCGGCGACTAGAGTTGAATTCATGAAGAATTTCTGTCAGCCTAAATGTGATTTCAGAATAAAAATATTGCAGGCTACTACTTTGCTAGTTTGTCTTAAATGGTAGGTCTCCTTTCCTCTCATTATTGCTAGAAAAAAACTGATTTACAGATAATTTCAGTGCTACTTTCAAAAAATTTAAAGTTATAACTTGATTATTAAGTTTAAGATTTTGCCACCAATAATTTACAAACCAGTAAATATTCTATATGTAGTTCCGTATATATATACTGTTAAAAATATTTTTGAAAACAATACTCTTTTCAGGTATTAGAATGCTACAGGACTTGACAAATGCCAGTTTTGTTTCAAATAACACTGCTAAATCTGAAAACAAGTTAGAAGATCTATCTTCGGAGCTGTCAAGCCGAAGAAGAAGGTGTACTCCTCTCTCTTTAAAAGAGCCAAGTCTCAAAGGGTGAGTATTCAATGACATAAAAGCGATTTCAGTGCCGTACTGTAAAATATGTGCTTTCAAAAAGGTTCCTGCCTGAATTAGTATTTGAACACTTCTGAGTATCAGTGAAGCATGTATTGTTGACATGTAACAACCACAGTATGATCTGGGTAAGATTTGAAGAAATGTCTTCTTTTATTCTTTGAACAGGCTTAAAAGTTTTTTTTTGTTGCCTATAATTTGCAAACCTCATTATTTGTTACCCCCATTTATTGATTTTCTACCTTGTCCTTAGGAGAGTTCAGAGTGTTTATATGTCCTTTGGTCTCAAAGAATAATAGTCCTTTTTCTTTTTTTTTTAAACCTCAAACATATACCCCCAAAGAGGGAATAGTACTCCCCCCACCATTTATCCATCCCTCAGCTTAGAGAGTTATCAATATTTTGCCATATTTACTTCCACTATCCGTTTTTTGTTGTTGTATCTTTAAAGCAAATCCCTAATATTGAGTCATTTAATTCCTAAAACACTTCTGTATATATCTCTAGAATATAAAAACTTAACAAAACTGGACAACAATGATCACAACTAACAAAATTATCAATAATTCCTCACTGTCCTCTAATAGCAAATCCCAATTCACATTTCCTTGATTATCTCAAAAAATGTCCAAATGCCTTTTACATATGTTTTATTCAGAATCCTATTTTTCCAAGGATAAATGAAGTTGCTATTTCAGAGAACCTGATCATATTTGGGATGGTATTTCCAAAAGGATAGAGAGAAATATCCTCAAATTTTCTCTTTGCATTTGTTTCAGTGTTTGCTTTTATAAAATTAAAGACATTGATCGTTTTTGACAGGTATTTTAAAACAATAACCAGCAGGTGGCAGCAATGCAAGAGAGGGTGCAAGAGAAGCCAGTTAACCAAGGGCTTTTTTAAAAAACAGCTTTATTGAGCTATAGTTCACATATCGTATGTTTCACCCATTTAAATTGTACAATTCAGTGGGTTTTAGTAGATTCACAGATAGGCACACCATCACCACAGTCAATTTAAGAACGTTTCTTTATTTCAAAAAGAAACCCCATGCCCTTTAGCTGTCACTGCTCTATCTCCCAGCCCTAGACAACCAACCGATCACCTACTTTCTGTCTGTATAGACATCCTCTTCAGACATGTCATATGAATGAAATCATATAATATGTGGTCTTTGTGACTGGCTTCTTTCACTTAGCATAATGTTTTCAAGGTTCATCCCTGTTGTAGCATGAATGAGTAGTATTTCATTCCTTTTTATGACTAAATAAAATATTCTATTGTATATATACACCACATTTTATTTATCTGTTTGTCTTTTGATGATCATTTAGTTGTTTCCACCTTTTGGCTATTATAAATAACGCTCCTATAAACATTTGTGAGTTTTTTTGTGTACATATGTTTTCATTTCTCTTGGGTATTTGCCTAGTCGTGGAACTGCTGAGTCATATGTTAGCTATGTTTATCGTTTGAGGAACTGCTAGACAGTTTTCCAAAGCTGCCATACCATCTTATAGTCCCACCAACAGTGGGACTCTGTTGGGTCCTGATTTCTCTATATCCTCACCAGCACACTTGTTATTATTTGACTTTTTGATGATTCTAGCCACACTAGTGAGTGTGAAGTGGTATCTTATTATGGTTTTGGTTTTCAGTTCCCTAATGACTAATGATGTTGAGCATCTTTTCATGTGCTTATTGGCCATTTTTATATCTTCTTTGGAGAAATGTCTATTCAGATACTTTGCCCTTTTTTCAGTTGGGTTATCTTTTTCCTATTGAGTTGTAAGTTAAACTTTTTATTTTGAACTAATTTTATACTTACCAAAAAGTTGTAAAAATAGTAAGAGGTTTCTCATATGTTCTTTACCCAGCTTTTCCCAATTCTAACATCTTACATACCTATAGTACAATTATCAAAGCTAGAAAATTAGCATTGGTACAATATAAGATCTGGGCACTAGGTATTCTCACTGCTTATGTTGTGTTGTATTATCTGTTGTTGCATAACAATATTATCATAAACCTGGTGGCTTAAAACAACACACATTTATTTTCTTTTGGTTTCTGTGGACCAGGAATCTGCACTTAGTTAGCTAAGTTGCTTAGTGTCTCACAAACCTGTAATCACAGTGTCATCCAGGCTGATTCTCGTCCGGAGGCTCTCCTGGGGGAAAATCCGCCTCCAAGGTCACACAGATTGTTGGCAGAATTCATTTCCTTGTGGTTATAGGACAGAGGGCCCCAGCTTTTTTGCTGTTGGCTGGAGGCTATCCTCAGCTCCTAGAGACCACCATTAGCTCCTTGCCCCACGGGCCTCCCAACATGGCCACTTACTTCAAAACCAGAGAGAGTCTCTAGAGCAAATCCTCTGGCAAGATGGAGTGCTATATAATGAAACATATACTCAAAAGGGAGACACCCCATCACCGTTGCCATTTCTGTTGGTCAGATGCAAGTCACAGCTCCTGTCCATACTCAAGGAAAGGGTATTATACAAGGGCGTGAACACCAGTAGGCAGGGATTGTGGCGGGGTCCTCCACAGAGTCTGTCTACCACAGGGACAGTTGATATTAGGCCCCATCAGCAGACAGAGCTAGGAAATGTATGTATTATACCAATCCATGAATACGCATACTTTTATATTTATCTATCTGTGTGTATAGTGAAAACCTTGAGTTTAGACTGATACCTCTGATTCCTGTTCAACATCACAGGGTTCATTTTAGCTTTGCTTATTTGTAATTTCTTTCTCTATTGGTAAGTAGCCTGGCTCTCATTATCTATGATATATTTATTTATTTATTTGTTTGTTCAATTCTAGCATACACATAGTTTCAGAATTGCTGACCCATATCCCTATGAGAAACATATTAACTAGATCATAACATTTAGGTACAGTTCTTTTTGTCTTAGGTTAGTTCTTTTCTTACCACCCACCTTCAACATAATTATGTTATTCATTTGTTATTGTTTGTATTCCATTTTCTTCTCCCACATCTTGGTAGGTTTAGTCATTTACTTTTGGAGTATGTGAGTCATTTCTTGGGTTGTACAAGTCAGAGCTATACAAGGTGGTATATGCAGAGAAGTTTCAACTACTTTCATTCCTG